TGTTTGTCCTTGGGCCGTGCCGGGCCTGACAAGTCCATGCCGCCCTGCCGCTGAGACCCAACTATTTGCATGCCGCTGACCCCGGCGGTTAGTCTATATGCAGACCGTCAGAGTGGTGCGTGTTACCTGCACTGTCCCAGTCGGTGATACAAATTACTGCAGCCTCTCCGACTCCGCATCCCCCCCCCCCCTTTCCCCCCTCTCACCGGCCCACATCGAGATATCTTGGTTCGAGTGGAACTTTTCTGGCCGCGGCGCGACAAGCTTTTGGCGATGCGAACGCGATTTTACCTCCGATTCGCCAAGAAGGTCCGCTGCTGCTGTGGAAGCAATTTCCCTAAAGTATTTCAAATCCCCGGCGCCGTTATCGGTAACGAGGAGCCGCCCCTAATGAGTTGTCCCGCCTCGTTCAGCTCGTCGTCTGGGGAGGGAAAAAAGAAGAAATGACGAGAAAGAAAGAAAACGAAAACTTCCCCACTTCTTCGATTCACACTTGCGCTGCTTGCATTCCCATCGCCACTTGCTGTGTTAACCAAAATTATTGTCAGTAAGCACAAGGTTGAAGGCGCATGTTGCAAAAATGTCGGTGAATCTCTCCCCCTACCCCCTTATTTCCTCTTCTGTTTCTCCCGGTTTCTCCTTTCTGTCCAGAAGAGTAACCACGCCCTCCCTCTCCGCCCTCTCTAGCTCCTCTCCTCTTGAGAGGGCCTCGCGCGGCCGTGACTGCGGTCCGGTGGTGGGCCATTCGCCATGCTTTACGGCGGGCTGTGCATTTTTGTGCGTCGTGTGCGAATGGCCGACCTCCTCACCGCCTTCTAACTGCCGCGTAATGACTCGTTAAGAACGGGGCCGGAGGGGGGAGGGAGGGGGCATCGAAACGTGTGGGAGTGGCGATGAGGGGGAGGACGTGGCGACGGCGGTGGTTACGCCTGGCGCCAGCAGCGGGGGGAGCAGGGTGCGCCGGGGGTTGACATTTCCTGGCGGTCGGCCCCGCCAGCCCTCGCGCCAGCCCGACCGGGTGGAGGTTGCGCACGTCCTCCCTGATGAGGTGCACCCCGACTGCCCTCGCCTTTGTCTGCATGGCGGGCGGGCGGGCCGGCTGCGCTGCGGGACGCGCGGAGGTCGTATTTAATTTCAGTAAAAGCGGCGCCAGAGATTTAGAAAAAAAAAGACAAAAAAAAAATGCTTTAAAAAAAGTGGGGGGCAATTATTGCGGCTGATTTGTGAGGCATGGCGCTCATTCGAATGCTAGAACGGCCGTCTTGATGGACCTCCCCTCCTTGGTCTTGGTCCCGCCCAGTAACTCTCGGGACTAATGGCGGTTGTTTGTCGGCCGGTCCCGCCGGGTCAGCCTCCGCCGGGGCCCCGGCCAGCCTCCACCAGCACGGGGGATGCGCCCGCCTCCGCCTCTTCCTCTTGCTGCCGGCGTGGTGGCGATGTCCGGTAGAATCGCCTCGTCCCAGATCCGAGAGGAACCTCTGCTGGAGCTTCTGCTCCTGATCCCCGGGCCGGCCCCCGGGCCGCGGCGTCCCGTCCCGCCAGCCCAGGGCATCCCCCGGGGCTCTCTCGGGCCCGGAGAGGATGCTGAGTGGTGTACCGTGGTCGCGCCACTTCGCCGCTGCTCCGTCCGTCAGCCTGGCATAATCCCGCAGCAGCGCGACTCTCGACCCACTCCGCTCAGCTCGCCGCTCAGTCCGCCGCTCAGCCCACCGCTCAGCCCGCCGCTCAGCCCGCCGCTCAGCCCGCCGCTCAGCCATCCTCGCTCTGCTTTGCCGGCTCCGAGTCCTCCTCCTTGCCTTCCTCCTCCGTGTCGTCCCTCCTCGCTGCGAAATACCAGAGGCGGGGCGAGGCGGGAGGTATGTCGCTCAAAGGAGCGCGAAATCGCAGCGAGTGCAATATATTTGTTGCTCCCGCGAAAGCACAAAAGTATTATTCTCGCTCTATTTGAGTCAATAGTGGGATCGTCCCACAGTTTGAGCGAGCTACCTTATGGGGCTCCTCCTCACTACAGATTGCATAGAGGCGTCTGAAAAAATTACTTTTTGAGAGAAGAATGCCGTCAGCATGACTCAAATTGGGTGACTCTAAAAGCCTTCGTTTGATTGGGTGGGGTAGTACTATCTCACTCTTCTCGAGCACCAGCCCTCACTCTGTGCCATTGCCACTGCTACAATTCTCCTCCACGGCATTCCCGCCTGCTTTCACACCCAACTTCATTACTTAAAATTTTACCAGTGCGCTCCGAGCCCGGTGCTAGTCCTGTGTTTATAGGGGGATGCGGTGTGGGTGTAAGGGTTGCTGTTGTTGGTTGGCGAGAAAGAGGAGGGGAGGGGGGGCTCGGCAGGTAGGCGCCCCTATTCACACCACCCCCTCTCCCCTCCTCCTCCCGCCCTCGTCCCTTCCCATTCTCTCGCTTACTCTCTCCCTCACACCCTCTCGTGCTCGCGCAGACTCTCTCTTGTACACTGCGTGTATGCAGAATGTCGGAGACGAAATCAGAAGAGCATTGTGAACCAAACTTCAAGGCTTTGGGAAGATGGAGAGAGAGAGAGAAGGGGGGATGCTTGGCAGTGCAGTGTCGGGGTCGCGGGTCCCGTCCCCGGGGGCCGCACGCGCGGGGATGGCGGGGGCGAGTTGGTCCAACTCCGCCCTGCTCTGGCCCGCTCCGCTCTCGCTTGTTGGAGCGGAGGTGATGCGTGTCGGAGTGGCTGCCGCCGGCCGCCGCCTCGCCTTTACACGGCCCGTGCACAGCCATCACGACCCGCTTGTTGTGGTCCGCACACAGGGCTAGTTAGTGACGGCGGCGGCACGCTGGGCGAGGAGCTCGACGCGGGCTCAGCTTGCGGCTCATCGGTCATCATCTCTGTGACCCTCCCGCCTCGGCTCACAATGGACCTGCCAGGGCTGCTGGCGCTGATGCTGCCTCGCTCTGCTCCTAATGAACCAAGTGTGTGCGATATGACGGCAGCGCTGCCATGCCCGGGCGTTTTGCGGTGGTGTGCGATATTTCGCCAAACATTTGCGTGTTTGCAGTGTTCCTGTTTATCTTTGCCTCTCCTCCCGCTCTCTCTCTCCCTCTCCCTCTCATACCCGTTATCCTCTCGTCCCCTCTCCTTCTGACTCACTTCATTGTTTCTGTGCTTCCTCTGCCCGCAGGCCCTCCTTCGCCCCGACTCGTTCCGCTGTCGCCTTACTCTTTGTTCTTGCCACAGACTTTATCTAGGTTTAAGGTACAAAGCCTGCCGCTTCACTTCATCGGCATACTCCTAATACTGAAAAGATAGCCTTCCTCCCGTTCTTTTTAGCAGATGATACGCAGTTATCGTCAGCTTGTACTCTCGTAAAGTTGTAAGTTCAAAGCGTACAGTTCAAAGTTCGCCAGTTAAAGCAGCAGAAACGCGCAAGCAGTAGTCCAATCTATTTAGGCGGCGCGCTTGCAGTGGGGCTCTCGCGTGTCTGCCGCCGGCCTGCCGGCTTGGGCAGTAGCGCTGTTCAGACCGTCAGCATCGTAGCGCCATGAGCGACACTTCGCAGCGGCCGCTGCCCTACACAGCCCTACGCTTCGGTTATGACCCATGAAATAGTCGTTAAACACCCGCTGCGCTCCGCCCAGCCGCGCCCCGCCCACACCGTGCTCGCCGCGCTCGCCATGCTCGCCGTGCTCGCCGAGCCGTGCTCGCCGAGCCGTGCTCGCCGAGCCGTGCTCGCCAAGCCGTGCTCGCCGCGCTCGCCGCGCCCCGCTCGCCGTGCTCACCGTGCTCGCCGCGCCCCGCTCGCCGTGCTCACCGTGCCCACCGCGCCCCGCTCGCCGTGCTTAGCGTGCTCGCCGCGCCCCGCTCGCCGTGCTCGCCAGGCTCGCCATGCTCGCCGAGCCCCGCTCGCCGCACCCCGCGCCCCGCTCGCCGCGACCCGGCCGCGTTTACGTACAATGCTTGCCCGCCCCGCGTTCACGTTCAACGCAGTCGTGTGAGTTTAGAGTAAATGCTCAACGCTCAACGCTACACGTGTAAGTCATCTGCTTTCACGTTAGCGTTAGCGTTAACGTTTTTTTGTCGCGGGTTCTTCTCGTCACGGTCCGGGCAGGTCTGCTCGCACACTTGTACACGGTTCAGTCTTACTACGGGTACGTCACGTGCATGCCATGTGCCCTCTGTTGCACAGGAGCAGAATCATGTAGTGGAGGGGGCCAGAAAAACCGTGCATATTCGTTCCAAAGCTTCGTCAAATCGTTTGGATTGTTGTCCTGTCCTAACTTTGGTTCTCTTTGACGCTTTTCTGGTTACTTTACTATGGCTTACCCCGAGGGTGCAATAACTCCCTTTCGATGTGTATACATGATTCCCGAAATACTTTATTCCCAGTGATTCCCGTCCGCATATATTGATTCCTTAGGTTTTCTATTAACGATAAAAAACGGCCTTTTAGGGGCATAGCAGAACTCAAAAATAATATGTCCTAACGTGTTCTTATGTCAACATTGCAAGGTACTTCCACACATAGAGCTTATTTTCTAAGTTTTAGGCTCACTGACAAGCTGCATGGCATCAAAGGCGTTCCATGGAACGAGATTAGGGTTTGACCGGCTCACTAGCAAGGTTGGCACCAATGCGTTTAAAGAGTATGTACAGTCTGTGTCTCTTTTCCTTCGCTGTTTTCGTACTTTGACAGATAATCGAAACTCCCGAAAACCCTTTAAAATTGTGCACTTTTAATGTTCTATTTTGTAGAATTAGGTGAGCAGAGCGATTTTAGCTCTGAGGGCCGTTACTTGGGATTGCCAATTGACAATATCCGACCCCCCAAACCCATTACTTGATAATGCACGGTGTTTTTGAAAATTATACCCTGGGAGGTCAAATGAGATAGCTTGAGCTGTCCTTTGAGTTTCATTAGCTCTCTTCGGCTCGCGCTCACGGACTATTTAGTGCTGCAATCGAAATGTGTAACGTTGTTTATATTTCTCTTTTTATTACTAACTACTCTTGTCCTCGTGTTTGCAGCCCCACTGGATGAAGAGCCGCGAGTATTGGGATCGGAAGTTCGAGTCCCGCTACAAGGCGAGGAAGGAGAAGTGGCCCAAACTTCCCCTCAAGGTGAGTAATGTAAATGTGGTTTTGTTGTGTAGACTCGTTCTCGTTCGGGAGGTAATCAAATACATGTGGATCTAATCCCAGAACGCAACGCCAAGACATACGCTTAAATTGAACTTTGACAAATTTTTCGCAATATTTAGTTTACGTTAAACTGTACTGTACCGTACTGTAAATTCCTGCCAAGCGGTGCCTTTTAAAAACAAAAATGATTTTGATCCTTTGTAAATATGTAGCAGTTACTCTGCAATTACAAAGTAATGCTTTGCAATTGCAAAGCGATATTTTGAAGCACGTATAGGCATTGCTCCGAAATTTGAAAGCATCGCTTTGTAATTCCAAAGTAAATGCTTCGTAGTTACAAAGGGTCTAAATCCTTCGCGGTTCTGCAAAGCATTTCTTTGCTTGAATGTAATAGTGTGGCCTTATAGCATTGTACACTGCCATGCCACGACTCCGAATCGCGGAACAAAGTACAGCGTTTACAATTCTCTCAGACAAATATCAAAGTCAATTTTTTGTTTCCGTGGCTGGACAAGCAGGCATATTTTTTGTGTGCGTGGTGATGGCGGTCCCTCTTCTTCATTTTTGAGCCCCTTTTTATTGTTTTCTTTCGGTCGTGCGATTTTACGTGCTAGCGCACCTGTGCGGCCGCCACGTTGGCATCTTTTTTTTCTTTTCTCGTTTTCTGAGGGTTGGTTCGGTATGGTGGGGTAAGCGGGGCTATGTCGGGGTGAGGGGCGGAGCGGGGATGGGTGTCACGTGATTTGACACGCTGACACGTTTATCCGACACGCGTGACCGTCCCGCGGTGCGCGCCCTCCCCGTGCGTGACTCCGTGCCCGCTCCCCTCCCCCACCCCTCCCTTCCGCTTTCACGCGCGTTGCTCATTAGCTCGCCTGTGCTGCTGCTGGTGGAGGTGTTCGCTGCAGCGGGCAGGTGGTCACCAAAACAATCGGTGTTCGTCGGACACATTCTGATCATAGTTTCTCCTCGGTCCTTAACAGTAAATCAAATGGTATACTGGAAAAACAAAGTCATGAATGAATATGAATAAAATAGCTTCCTTAAAAAAAGGCCAAGTTGTGGAATGTTAATCCCTTTGGACATTGGACATTATCGCAGCTGCCCAAGAGCAATAAATTAAACAATGTCACGCTATTTGAGTTATAATTGGGAACCCCCGCACTTTTATAGCGAGGATTTCTAAAGTTAATCTCTCTTAATCTTGAGTGAGATTCCAAAATCCAAGGTTTTTGGGCGTGAACTTTCTAGCTTTTCTCTTAAATGGAACCAGGAGAAAAATTTCGCTCTTTTCGGGTGGGACAATGACTCTGGTATTTGCAGTGGTGTTGTCATAGTTTGCTGAATTAAGAAAAATAACGAGTAGCGACAAAAAATATTCTGGAGCTGGGTTACAGTGATGCACACTCTAAATGGGGAGGGACAATTTTTGTACCTT